TTAGGGGCATCACCACCCCACTAGGGGGGGGTGAACTGTAGCGATAAGTAAATCCCCAAAATAAATAGCTCTGTGAGTTTTCGGCATTGGATGCTGACCACAGTTTTAATGGACTCATCTAGCTGAGGGCGCTCGGTCAAGCATCCTCACCAGATCACGTGTGAGAACGCCGTGCTCAACATCTGCCGCAATCGCTAGTCAGATTAGTTCAAACGATCCTCGATATATTGATAGCTTATCAAATATATCTTCGATCTCCTCGCTGCTGTCTTTTAGTTTCACTTGGTGCGTACACTTCATATTAGAAGGTGTTACTGGTTAAAGCGTTGTCAAACTCTGAATACCTGTGGCATCTTCGGAACTTCATAACTATGGCCCTATGTAACTTCATGGGATACCCAAGTAACAGCAGATTATTAAAGGCATATCGTGAATAAACTGGTGAAACGCGCGCCTCTCAGCACCTAGTTGATATGTAGTAACGTCATTTAAGACAGTTGACACAGTTACACATCCCAACAGTCCCTGCCTGTAATCTTAGTTTCTGATTGAGATACCATATGATAAACAAGCAACCGGAAACCCCTAAGTCCGGGCCTTCTTATTACTTATTTCAGCCGCCATGATGTGTTGCAGTAGTACGTTGATGAGTACGCGTTTAAGCCATAGTTGTTTATTGGGATGCCGTCGGATTTCCAATCAATACCTTAGCTACACTGACGGATCACTAGTATCGTGAGGGTACGCGCTCGTCAAAACACAACTACAGGCTCATTCAGTGTCTTCACCCCCTTATACCGAATATAACAAGAAACTCTGTATTTAGTGAATACAAGAATTTTATTTAATAAGGTATTAACAAAATTTGGCAACGCAGCAGACGTACATGACGAGATTAGTGTTTGTTGATTATCTGAAATAGAAAGTACGAGTATTAGCCTAATAGATGCATTTATAAATACTTAGATTTTGGTTTCCAAAGGACCAATGGACTTACCATGTTCGGAAACTGTAGCCAGACACCTCATTCGTATTAATTCATCAACTTGATCTATCGATTGCCTTGGTGTGTCCTGCACCGTCGTCTGTCCGAAAAGTGTACTGAGTGTGTAGATTTTACTGCGTAGAGTGCGATAAAGTCAGTTCGAAACATGACCATGCAACCACCAAACTTTGATCGATGAAAATTGGAAATAATAATGATAATCACTTTCCCTTTTACTCTCTGACCATAGCCCTCCGGCTTCTTTTTATGGCCAAAACAACATAGATGCACTACATATTCATAGAGAATTTCCGGCTTTTATTTGTTCAGCCTGCCTTCACGCACAACATAATGATTCCAAGTCATCTATTACTTTTTAGACTGAGTATTATCAGTAACAAACCTTTTCAAACAGATTGATAGCTTCTCTGACTTGATCCTAACTTGACAGATGCCTGGGTCTCATAATCATTTCGAAGACATCACTGGTATCCGCAGCCACTGGACACTCAGTATTAGTTTGACTGGTTGATGGAGTAGCGTGATCCATAATACTGAAGAAAATAACAAATCTTCCATTCTGCCTCATGACAATAAATAACATTTAGGAACGAATATGCATCCAGTTACGGTCACATGCGGCAGCAACAATTATTTTAGCTAAAGAAAACTAACTTCCGTTCTCCATATCTAAAAATAGAATGCTCAAAAAATAACGGATTAAGATTTTCTGACATAATAAAAACGAGCTTGCCTGCCAGTTCCCCGCCAACCAATAAAGGGGAGAACGCGCCAAAACGTCGCCTGTCCGGGAAAAATAGTGAAGATCTCGCCCTTTTTGTCGCTAAATTGTCTACTTTTCGCCTAAATATACACGGAACTGCCTACTTTTTGCCTAAATGCACACAGAATTGCCTGTTTTTGATCCAACTTTTAAAATACCATTGACATAACCCCAAAGGTCTCCTATATTCGCCCTTATTTCCACAACAAACCACAATGAAACTGCAATCCACGGGAAAAGCGGTATATATTTAAATAGTTTTATTTCAAACATTAAATACATAGCTACACAAAAGAAATAGCTGAAAGAAGCACAGAGCGAAGAAAGCCGACCACCATTGCTTACAAAGATGGCGGATATAATGATTCCCGCCTCATTCTGATTGGTTGATAAGCTGAAGGGCACATTTACGAAATTGAGTTGCGTTTAATTGCAGCCTAAAATAATAAAAATTATAATGCCTACACAAAATAAGGAACTGAATGAATACTCGAGCTGCAATGTTCTGTCATGTTTGCAAATAACTCTTAATTAAGCAGCTTAGGTTTCTCTAATATTTCTACACAGTGTTTAAAATTCGCATCAATATTCAAGGAATTATACACACAGCTTTCGCAGAAAATTAGGCGGCAGAGTCAAAATACTCTATCGAAACGGCATTAAATTTTACAGGGATTTGCACACAAAAGTCATGGTGTAAAAGGAGGCATCGCGCAGGAGGGATGTAAATTTTTTGTATGCAGTTACAAAGCGTTTGCATAACACATACACAAAACCTTCAATCATCCATTTGCATCTTTCGGTATATTCTGCGATTTTAACCGTCTTTTCGTCAGATCTACAAGTGTTCGTCGTACTTGAACCCCCCTATCTGGCTGGCGACCGTTGCAAACTCAACTCTATTTTCTACTACACACTATTTACAAGCAAGCTTGTGATTAGTCTTCTCCACAATGTCACTTTCAGGGTTGTTGAAGTTCTAGTAAAGAATACTTGTTTAAGTAACCAAATGAAAATCTGGTTCTGTTCAAGCACATTGACTTTGACAAATATTTTGATGAATTCCCGTACAACACGTTATCTAGGCCTAGTGATATGTGGCTTGAAAGTATCGTATGTGTATAAATTGTTGCTTATTTATGCACTTAAAAGAAGTACAGGCTAGCTCAAAGTCGTCAAGCTGGAAAGATGTGCTTGCTAGAGCACCCTAGGGTAAATATTAAGGATATGAATTATACCTTCTATATGTAGATAACCTATACAGTCTACTATCATGATCTATTTTATTAGGTGCTGACTCCATCAACGTTTAGAAAGTGATGAGAAGCGAAAGTAGGAAGCACAAGCCTCAGAATAGCCTATAGATATTATTTAATCGGTTTGGAATTCGTTTTGCGATTTCTTAGCCTGACCTAATATGACATGATAGCTGGGCTACCCTACTCTTCCGAAATTTCTAAAGTGCAAACGAAACACTGTTCGTAAAACAGTGTATTTGCAGTTAGAAGGGATATTTTCTATGGCCATTTGCTCATGGAACGAGACATCGTATCCGTTTCATTTTCACGTGTCAGTTTTCACTTACTATAACGGTTGGTATGCAAACGAACAGTATTCGTGAATAAGAAGCAATTTCCCAACTATCTTGGAGACTACAGAAATGAAAATGAACGGACAATAACATGCGGCATACATTTATTGATAATACTCACAAACCAAATTCTCTTGCTCACTATAGCATCAGCTACAGCTAGGTAAAAACGTGCGAATAATGTCAACAATAGCAAATTAAATTAGCACAATTATCTGACATAGTATGATCGCTAAACATGTGTTCATTGAGTAACGGGACCTGAGATGACTAAATATGACAGAAACGAACATATGAGAATTATAAACTGGAATGGTGAAAGTAAGCAAGATGATCGATCATAATAAAATCTTCTTGAATAGGAATATATATTTTTCAATCGATAGCTCGTTTATGGTTCAGTATTACTTCTCTAGCCCTACAGAATCACTTCCACACAATGTTATAACGTCTCTGGGTTCTCTGGTACGGTTTAGATAGGAATAATCTATCCTCGTTGAAATACTGTCACATAGCAACATGTTGACTGTCGCGGTCAGGGAAATCTTAGTCACAATTTTTTCTCAACCGAAGTGTCATTTGTGAATGTGAGGTAGTAAAAGGATCCGCCCAGATAGGTGTGGGAAAATTTATCGTAAACTACTGCTCCACATGAGTTTCTAGGTATGCCCTACCTGGATGATCTTGTGTACCAGCGTTCCGGGTTAACCGCTTGAGGAATGGCACCCAAAGTAATCAACCCACCTAGGTTTAAAGTAGCCTCCTTCAACGTTCTTGCGCTGATCCGTATCGGACAGCGGATAGGTTTAACCATGTATTCAGGAGACCTTGATATCAATATTTTCTGTAGATCCAAGGTCCATATTCCAACCCAATAACTCGGAACCCGGGCAGGATTAATGAAAATAAAAATGCGCCTGAAAGTACAAATGTGCAATACCTAAACGGATTTTAAACGTGCCTGTATACTCAACAGATAACCAAAAACGAGTATGAATGCCTTCAATTTGGTCCAAAATGAGCAATCAACAAGCAAATAATAATTATATAAGAATTCAGGAATGACCTAAAAGATCTGTAGTGGCATTGGGCCCTAATTTCGCAATCCTCAAATATGAACACGAGCCAGTTGGGAAAATAGATATTCAATATGTAACGCGGAGAAAAACCCAACGATAAGGAAGGCGCGAACAATGAATGAAATGAATTCGAATTGGTCGGTCGGCATGGCTTGGCCTTGCAGGCGTGGTCACTTTTAAATGTTATCTTACATCTTTTATTCATATCAAATATTCCGTTCTATCTCAAGCCTAAGCTTGTTCTTCATCATATATTGGTAATTGTTACTGTACGATGAGTCAGTGTAGACAATGATGTGACTTCCACGTAAGGTCTTATATATTAGGCAGTTACGCCATGGCAAATCTACAGTTTTAGGATTGAATCTATTATTAGAGCGGTACTAATATAATAGTAAGCCGTAATACTATAGATCACTGGTCAATTTACTATAAAAGATGAGTGATTATAGTTTTCAATAGCTATACACGTCTCTAACAAATAAGAAACGTTACCTCTTTTCCTTGGGGATATCCGTTTCCGCGAAACATGCAGTAACAATCAAGAGTACAGTAGCTATATCAGGCCGCCACCGAAGTACAGTGAATAAGTAAAACAACATGCGATGATGTACACTGATGATAAAATCTATGTCGACTACATACTTCACGATTGACAATTAAAACAATACCGATTAATACCACTAAAAAGGCAACAATCACACCAATAATATATGGTAGACTACTACGTTCATTAGAATTTGTAATACTTGTTTCATTGATAATTGAATGGGTTAAATAGGTGCTATTGTTATAATAAGCAGTAGTAAACATTGGATGTTGAAGACTATTATCATCACCCCCGTCAACCACATTTTCTTGAATATATTCTTGAATATTTTTACATAATTGAAGACATTTATTTAAATTGGATATAATCAGGAATAGCATAGCACATAAATGAATACAACGACATTGTGATTTTGCTCGAGGACAAAAACAATCGTCTGTAAGATAATTTGGTTTGACTACATGTAATCTACCGCCTAATTCATAATTACAGTACTTTAACTAATAATCATAGTTTTTTATAAAAATTATTCCATAGTGGATTTAATGAATTTGAAGATAAACGTTTTCATATACATCCAGCATATTTAACTGAAAAGGATTGCTATTGATTGTAATTTTCTTAAATGAATCGTTCTTTCATAGCATAGTACTGTAACTTATTTTTATTTACTTATTTGTCTAGGCTATACTCATCCTCCTCTCCACATCTTTGCTCAATTTCACTTCCCTGTTTGTGATGTGGATTTATTTTGGTTCCCAGTTTTAGAAGTATTCATGTGTTGAAATAAATAATTATATAGTGCTGGCACATCACAACTAATTTTTATAAAACAGACGTTTACAGCATTCCGTATAGTCCTTAGCAAGATTCACCTCATGGTTTCTTCTTTTAACTATGTAGAGCTGTGACAGAAGTATTCCTAACTTTTGTGTAGATACTTTAGCAGTTTCTCACTAACCTAAATTTCATCCACACTTTTGTTTTATTCAGAATCGTGTGAACACCATAGGGGATAGTTCCGATTATATGGTACCTATTATATGGTGTCTATGTTAGACAAATTCCTGATCAACACCGAATCCTTTTCTGGACAGAATTCTGGGTTTACCGTCCAACGTACTGTTGATACTACTTGCTTTATTTACGATGCATGTGTTTCCATACGTTTGACGTGCCCGAGTTCTGCACGTCATTGTTGTATGGCAAGTAAATATAAACGATACTTGAACATTCTTATTCAGGGGAAGACTGAAATGGAGTTTAATAACGCTTTGCTCATTTCAAGTACATTTAAGTCCTAGCAACGATAGTTGGTTCCTTCACATTTCGTATCAGGGCGAAAACAAAATTTAAATCTTTTATGACAGCAAACTGTGTTAGCACTGCAACGAAGCCTTATACTTTTAGCATCTCTTGTTGTATGTTGTCAATGGATGGCCTTGAGAAGTGTGGTGTTTCGCACGTGAAACCGGTTACAATCCGGTTTTCCCGACAAACGTACGGGTTCAAAATATACTGAAGATTTTATTGTTTTTGTTCGCAATAAGTCTCCATTCTTCAAGATACAGTTCGTAAGTCAACCCTTGGTATTTGGTAGTAGTCTGGTAATTCGGATGTATTGCTCGACTCGATAAATTTTAGTTCGCTTACAAACAAAATAGTTTATCACAAAAACTTGGTGTAAACACTGTCATAACGATTTTCAGGGCGATTGTAATCGTCTAACTAAGACTACAGCTAACGAGACAAATCTACTGTGTTGGCAATAACATAGTCAAATAGGTATCTGAAGACACCAAAGATAGGGTATTATATATCCTCAACAAGATTGCCATTTTTTCGTCAAAAGTTTGGAACAGTGTTCACCATGTTATAGTAGGTTGTTGTTTCTGAAAAAGTTACGCAAAACGTTCTTGTTCTAGGACACTTACCACTAGTTAGTACCTTAAGTCTTGGTTCAAGTTCTAGAAATATCATAGATGATGTTCATAAGATCCTTGTCCCTTACATTTCGCGTGTTTTAAAACATTTCTAACTATTCGAGTAAATGATGTGTAAAGTTGTGGAATCATGGTTAGTGGTTTGTACTATATATATATATATATATATATATAATTTATTTTAGTCAGTCAGCTGCAACGTAGGACCAGGCACGTATATGCATCGGTCCAAGTTGCCATACCGCATTAGCACAACAAGATGAACACCGGATTCATAGGAGTAGTTAATTCAGTGGTGGTAATATATAGAAGAAAGATTGTGTATAAGGAGATAGTAAAGGAAGAAAGAATTAGTTCCTAGACAGATATGAAGCGATTTTAATCTCTTAATTTAAGGAAGACAGAGAGTGTATACACCGACGCCATTGTGATCGATTCTGAGTCATGTCACCAAGAGTCTCCAACCATTGGTTACGATAGTCACGCGGACCCCAACCAGGCAGTCTGAATCTCCCAACATGGCTCAGACCAGAAGTTAGTGACTTCAAGCACTGATGCCACGTTTTGGTTTGGCCGCCCCTAACTTTCTTCCAATTATCCCCTGCACTAGTCAGCATTGCGCGTCGTGGTAATCGGTGTTCAGGCATACGCAACACGTGGCCCAACCATCTCAGTCGATGTAGATTCATAACCTCATCAACTGATTTACCATCATTCCCTAATACCCTGTGTCTAACCTCACTATTACTTACAGGGTGATCCCAGCAGATACCCGCAATATTTCTAAGGCACCTGTGGTCAAATACTAGTAACTTACGAATATCTTCCACTCTTAAAGGCCATGTTTCGCAGCCGTATAGAAGGACGGAGCGAACTGCCGTGCAGTATACTCGTCCCTTAATTGATAGACGGATATCTCGCCTTCGCCATAGATGACGTAAGTTGGCAAAGGCCAAACGAGCTTTTCGAATCCGTGCTGAGATTTCGTCAGACACCAACCCATTAGGACTGATCAGACTTCCAAGATAAGTGAAGTTATCAACGCGTTCGACTACTTCACCCCCTATCCTTAGTTCAGGTGTTGACGCAGACCAGTCCTGAAGCAACAACTTGCATTTAGAGGGAGAAAAGCGCATCCCAAACATTCTAGCATTGTTGCTCAGTGCTACCAAAAGACTCTGCGTTTCATCAGTGTCTTCACCAAACAGGACTATGTCATCTGCGTATTCTAAGTCAATAAGTGGACCTCCTGGTAGGAGATCAATACCCGAGAAGTCAGTCGATGAGAGCGTTATTTCCATCAGGATGTCTATGATAAAGTTAAACAAAAAAGGAGAAAGTGGACAGCCTTGACGGACGCCACTTGAGGTTGCAAAAGCAGATGACAGTTCGCCATAGGCTCTGACCCGACTAGTAGTGTTCGAGTAAAGAGCCTTCACAAGGTTTATGTACTTCTGAGGTACGCCTTTCAATGACAGACACTGCCACAGAACCTCTCGGTCAACAGAGTCAAATGCTGCTTTTAAGTCAAGGAAGACTACCATTGTCGGACGCCGATAAGTATGCCTGTGTTCTAGAACCTGACGAATGGTGAATATGTGGTCGATGCAGCCACGACCAGGTCTGAAGCCAGCCTGATTTTCACGTGTTTGCAGTTCACGAGTCTTAGTTAGGCGTCCGAAAATTATCGAAGCTAGTATTTTAGATACTATATTAGTCAAACTAATCCCTCTGTGGTTGTCACAGGATGATTTTGACCCTTTCTTAAATATTGGGACGATAAGTGATTGTGACCAGTTAGATGGGATAACGTCTAACTCCCAGATTTTAGCTAAAATATTAGTCAACCTAATCGCTAAGACTAGACCACCATCCTTAAAGACCTCTGGGGCCAATCCATCTGGACCAGCTGCCCTTCCTCGTTTCAGATTAACTATAGCCTTTTGAACTTCAGCTAGAGTTGGGGGACCTACTTCAATGTTCCATTCACACTGTCTGGGAATAGAGGGTAGTTGTAGAGTAGCTGAAGGTCAGCTAAACTGCTCCTTAAAGTGTTCCGCCCATCGTTCTAAGCGTCTGGACTGGGAGCAGATGAGAGTGTCGTCTTTTTCCGAAATGGTCTGACTTACACTTGATTTACTAATTCCAGTTTCTTTTATTAGTCTGTAGAGTTGTCTTGTGTTCCCTATAGCCGCCGCCTTTTCCATCTCTTTTGCTTTCGTTGCCCACCACTGCTCACGATCATTCCTTGGACTTTTGCTTAATCTAGATTTGATTTCTTTGCGCTCTTCATCGTATTCAAAACCTGATGGGATGAGTTTGCGAGAATCTATCAGTGCAATAGACCTTGACGAAATCCATTGGTTTTTTGTAACCATCTGGTTTAAATCACTGGTAGATGTCACTGCTGTTTCCACAGCTGCTTGTATAACTTTCCAAGCAACATCTGGGTCAGTCTCGTTTTTAGAACTACCTAAGTGTGACCTCAGTTGTTCCTGGAACCTACTTTTGGTTTTCTCATTACTCAATTCGGTTCTAATGAGTCTTTTTTGTGTGGCTCTTTTGCGTCCAGTGAGGCGCAAGCAGATGCGTGCTCGTACTAGGGCATGATCAGAGTCCAAGCAGGTACCCCAGAATGAGCGACAATCTTCTATTGACCCTCTCCAACGATGACTGATGGCAATATGGTCTATTTGAGTCCATCGTTGGTTTGGTGCAGGGGGTCGCCATGTTAGACGATGTCTCTCCTTATGCTTAAAATTTGTTTGCTAAAAATAAACGATTGTCTGAGCACAGTTGCAGCAGACGATCACCGTTATCTGTTCGCTGTGCTGGAATACTAAAATACCCACCTAAATGTCTTTCTGTTTTGTTTAAGCTACCTACCTGGGCATTAAAGTCGCCTGCTACGAGTACTATGTCTGAACGTTTAGCTTTCTGAAGAAGTTCAGACAGCTTTCTGTAAAATTCATCTTTCACTTCATCCGAACTGCAGTCATTGGGAGCGTAGGCAGAAACGACGAAAAGGCAACGACGTGTGTCCCTATCCTTCCGAGTTCTTACGGAGCCGTTTAGCCGAACAGCGCATAGACGACTGTTAACGGGGATCCACTCTAATAGCGCTTGTTCCGCCCTCATGCTAAGTGCTATGCCTACACCTGCCAGTCCACGAGAACTAGCCATCGGGTCGCCAGATACACGGAGGGTGTATCTCGTTGGCTCTCCGTTTTGCCGAGGTGAGGTTAAGTGAATGACCACGCCAGGATCCTGTATGCGTGTTTCGGAGACACAGCATACATCAATGGTACGAGATTCTAAGGTTTTAGCCAAGAAAGCCTGCTGACCGATTTGGCATAGTGTGCGTATGTTGAAGGCTCCAATGTATAGTTTGGGGCGAGGTTTCAGTAGACCTGGGACAGTGTTTTGAGCACTAGAAT